CCATAGGCTCAGGGCAGCATGGAACTGAACTCTCCTAACTCTGGGAGTGGGGTGGAAAGTGGGCTGTCTCTAGGGTCCAACATACCAGGCTTACATTACAGGGGAAGGGTGAGTGCCTGGCAAAGTGAGGAGGGAGGTATGATGTGGCAGAAGAGAGGGAATTATTCCTAGACTAACAGCATCTATAGAAAAGAAAAAGAAAAAATCCTGCCTGTTCCATCACTCCTTATTCCTCCCCTAACAGACAAAGGAGATCTGCCCTTTTCTATGACCTCATTAACCTTGTATTGGCTGATGGGAGGGGAAGTGGAGCTGGGTGTCCCAAGAGGGAGTGGTCTCTTAAGCCCCAGACCAAGTACTACATTCAGTGCTATAGAATGTTGGTCATTTCTAGTTCTTAGTAGAGGGACATTAGATAATGAGAGATGAACAATTCTGTAGCTTCCTCCTAGTGTCTTCAAGGCTATACAGACACCCAAGGCTTTTGGATCCTAGACTGACCCAGCTTGAGGATAGCCTTTGGAAGGGAGCCCTGAAGGTCATGTTAGGGGCAGGGTTAAGGAAAGAATCTTGAAAAAGGGAGTAATTAGACCTGGGGTTCAGTCCAGTAACTTGATTAACTGGCGGTGGGAATTTGGGCAATTAACTTTCTCCCTCCTTTCCCCATTAGTAACATGGGAAGTGGACATTCCTGCACTGACACCTTCACATGGCTGTTAGGATCAAATGAAATGTATGTGTGATCTGGTTTTTATGGCTCCTGGACCAGTAACAAGTTTGTTGAAATTCAGAGCAGGAATGTCAGGGTTGAAAGGGACCTTGAAGCACATAGAATATGAATATTAGAGCTGGAAGGATTTTGGAAGGTAGAATAGAAGGCTAGAGCTAGAGAGGAGTTTAGAATATGGAATCAGTGTGCTGGGAGCAACCTTAAAGATTACCTAGTTCAATCCTCTCTAAAGAAGGGGAAACTGAGACTCAAAGTAACTTGCTCAAGGCTACACTGTGCATTAGTGGTAAGGTCTGAATATGAGCCCAGGTTTCCTGATGTTCAATCTAGGGCTTTTTCCAGTCAGTCAGCAAAACATTTATTAAGCAATTAGGTGTCTCAGAGATTATGCTTCATTTAGATCCTCAATCCCATTCCCTTACCACCAAAAGTAAAAGTAAAAAGCCCCCATTCCCTCAAGAGAGGCAATAAAATCTACTGCACTGTACAGGTGATGTGTTATGGGGGCTACAGTGTGGGTGATGGAGAACATGAGTTCCAACACACAGCTAACCCTGAAAAACAGAGCTGAAAGACCCATTCTTTAAGTCCTGGGTCCTTCTCTCCTCCCATCCCTTTCACCCCCCCTTCCCCAGCCAAAGCATCACGGAGTAGATTTTCTTGGGTACCATTATAGTCATTATCCTCAGGTCACAGACTCCGAAGTCCAGTTGAATATGGACAGAACTCCAGAGGCATTACCACATACATTTGTGCACATACATGCTTGAATGCGTGCATACAGGCTGGCTCATACACACTCTCTAGCAGACCTCCCTTCCTGCCATCCCCCCCACCCTTTCCTTGGTGAAGATGGCCTGAGCCAGGTTGCCATGACAACAACAAGGCTGATGCTGAAAGAGTGGGCCTGGTGGGGCCAACCCTAGTGGATATTTATGATGTGGCTGACAGGTGGAAATGAAAGGGGTAGGGGAGAGGGCAGGAAGAGGGATGGGGTGGAAAGGCAGGGAGTCACCCTCCCTCACGTACAATATTCTCCTTGGCCCCCAGGTGGGGATGCGACAGAGAAGCTCACTCTCCCAGCCATGTGGGGGCTTTAAAAGCCATCTGATTCTGGAAAAGCACTGCCTTCTCCCTCTCATTCCTTCATCAAGCACCTTCTCCTTCCCCCATCCAACGCCTCCTACTAAGCTAAACAACTGCTCCATCCATCAAACGCCTCCCACTACTCTAAATACTTTCTCTCCCATCCCATCATTCTTTCCTCTAGTCCTTCCTCCTTCCATTTCCCCTCCATCACACTACCCATCAGCACCCATCCCTTTCTTCTATCAAATCTATTCCTTCCCTTAAGATTGTTCCTGAAATACCTTGTCTGCAACACAGAGCAGCCTGGAGATTGTAATGGGTATAAGGGACTGTTCATTGGAACCACAGATCAAGCTTCCAAGCATAAATAGAAACGGATCGAGCCTAGGACCACGTGTGATATCTTCTTATATGAACATCCAGACCTTTTGCTAATTATCAACAATAATAATATTAATGACTCATACGTCACTTTCTTCACAACCACTGTGTGAGGTAGGTAGTGTAAATATTCTCTTCATCTGACAAATGATTGAAACAGGATCAGAGAGGCCAAGGTTATGCTGTTAGAGAGATCTGCTCCTCTTCCAGCAGCTCTTTCCATCACACCACATTTTACTTGTGGTAAAAACCTGTTTGCAGACCCCTCAGTTTGAATTTGGTGTCTTGCTTTAGCAATAGTGGGGGGAAGGGTCCTTGTTCTGGTCCCCTGCCTATCCAAAGCCAGTCTTTCCCAGGCAGGAAAAGTGATTCTGTGGTCCTGCTCATGTTCCAGTAAGGTCAGGCGATACAAAGGAGGGCAGGCTTTGTCTCCCCTGGGATCCCAAGCATGACTCTGACTACCAAAGCCTGATGCAGCCTAATCATTCAATTCTCCAGCTGGGGCAAGAGGGTGGAGATGGGGGGAAGGGGCTCCAACAGGGACTATTGAGGCCCAGCACATTCAGTGCAGTGTGGTAGAGGAGGGTTAGCAGGAATAACACCAGGAACAGAGATTGCATCTTCCTGGAATGCAGGTCCCCCTCTCTACCTCCAAATAATTATAGAATGTCAGAGCTGGAGGGGACTTTAGAGGAGCACCATGTCATCTTATATATGAAGGAACAGAGGCTCCCAAACTCATAAAATTAGTGACTGAGTCTTGTGAGATATGATTCCAGGTCTCCAGACTCCAAATATAGTACTGAATCTTGCCCATTCTTCAGAACACAGCTCCAACATCCATTTTCTCCATGAATTCTTCCCAGTGAGCTCCCCCTCTCATGCTCAATTAACCCCAGTGGCTCACTACTGCCTCAAGGAATAAATATCAATTTGTTTGGCATTAAAAACCTGGGTCCAATTTACTTTTCCAATCTCATTCTAGTCCCTTTTAGAGGATTTTAACCCTTTCGTTTCCAAAACTCCTTTTCCTCACCCCACCCCCACCATTGATGTAGGCATCCCCATAGCCACTATTTTGGATAAACAGACCTCAGGCATGCTCTGCTTTAGTCCCTACTCCCCTCACCCCATCCCACTTTGTGAACACCTGCAAACCCCACTCCTCCTTAGTTTGAGAACCATGATCAAATCACCATTGCTATAGTTCCTGAAGGGGTACATCATAATGACTCTGCCATAATCCTATTTACCATCTTGGTAACATTCCAGACCAAAGTGCCTCTGCCTGGTCACTATTCCCTGATATGTGTTAGAATCTAAGCTCCTTGAGGGCAGGGACTGTCTTTGCTTTTGTATCTCCAAGGCTTGGCACATAGTAAGAATTTAATAAATGTGTGTCCATTCATTCATGGTCCAGTCATGCTATCCTCATTGTTCCTTTCACACATTCCATCTCTCCCCCACGCCAGGAAGACACACCTTCTTTACCTCTACCTCTTAGAAGCCCCAACTCCTTTCAAAACTCAGTTCAAGGGGGCAGCTAGGTGGCGCAGTGGATAAAGCCCCAGCCTTGGAGTCAGGAGGACCTGAGTTCAAATCTGACTTTAGACACTTGACATTTACTAGCTGTGTGACCCCGGGCAAGTCACTTAACCCTGACTGCCTCACCAAAAATAAATATCAAAGTTCAGCTCAAATGCTACCTCCAACAGGAGGCTTTTCTTGATTTTCCCCCCAGCCTATGGTGCTTCTCTTCCTGCTTCCTAACTGCTTTTTATTTATTTCATTTGTGCACATGTTATATCCCCCTAACAGGATATAAGCAACTTGAGGACAGACTTTGTATCAGTATTTTGCCTTTGCTCAGTGCCTAGTGTTTAATAAATACCTATTGAACACTGGTAGCACTTACCACCTGTGCCACTCCTTGGACACTCATCACAGATGGCCTGACCCTGCTAATGTGTTTCATGTCTGTGCCTCATCTCTTCAACAAAGATAAGGTCCTGGAAGGGAAGGTCTAAATTTTACTTCTCTCTGGAACCCTTCTCATATAGATATGGCATGCGACATATGTGGTAAATGTTTGCTGAGTAAGTGGTAGCTATGGAAATGCACTCTGTGGACAGTATGGCCGCAGTCACTGGAAATACCACAGGCCTGGTGGGAAGGGGAATCCATCTGTGGCTCTATTCAGCAAGCCCTAGTGGCATCAGGACCCACTGCTCCATGTTTTCAAATTCTTTGGCAGGATGGTCAAAAGGAGAATTCACTGCCCTGGAAACTAAGTCTTAGTAATAATAGCTAGCATTTACAAAACCCTTTGAGGTTTTCAAAGTGCCTAAAAATATTATCTTATCTTACCCTTACAATAACCCTGGGAAGCTAGTGCCATTTTACAGATGAGAAATCTGAGGCAGACAGATTGAGTCTCTCATATCCCCAAGGTCACATAGGTAGTAAGCGACTGTAGGTGGATTTGAACTCAGGTCTAGCATTCTATTCACTACGTCACTAGTTCTAAGAATGGAGCTTTCTCATCCCAGACTATCTTGCCACTTGGAAAAGCTGGTTGGGACGGTAGCAGGAATGCTATCAGCCTTTTCACTCACCTCCCTCTCCCCACAACTGGGAAAATGCTAGCAGCCAGGGAGCCCTTTTTCCAGCCTAGCCTCTAGTATCCCTGAAATAGCTCTGGAACGCCTGACTCCTAAGGTCCTGGCCCCATGGCTGTTCCCAGCCCAGCAGAAGGAATGTCTGCCCTTTATAAGAATGATAACAATAAAAACTCCAACCCTTCACACGTACATAGTGTTTTACAGTTCACAAAGCACTTTCACATTCATATTTAGCCCTCACAACACCACTGTGAGGTCAGCAGGGAAACGTTTCTCCACATTTTACAAGTGGGTAGGCTGAGGTATCAAGAGATCATAACTTGCTCTAGGTCACACAGCCTACAGTAGTAAGCACCAAAGCCAGGCAAGAACCCACATCATTTTGTGTTTGTTTGTTACTACATTTTTTCCTAGAGTTTGAATCAGCCTCAGTTCTGTTCCTCTCACTCTGCTTTATACAAAACAACGGCTCATAACAAAACTACAAACTTAGTGAAGTTTGAGTTCAAAGTCTTCCTCCTTGTCCAGGACTCCTCTTTCTTTCTAGGTAACCAGTGTCTTCCTCTTGGCCTGGGACCTTTGTAACAGCAGGAAATTGTCTGATGAACTAACATGTGTTCTCACTCCCCTTGGCCATTCTTGGGGATTGCTTAATGAAATGTTAAAAGTGTTAATGGTGGATTTTCAAACACTGTGACACTAAGATGGATGTGAATGCTTTGGGTGAGAACAAACCTTGAAGGTAGCAGCCTATGTATAAAGCCACAGGTTTTCCTTTACATGGGCCCTGTCTGCCCTTTAAAAAACTCACTCCATGGCTTCTTTACTTCCAGCCCCGTCCCTAGTCTCTCACCGCCATGTCCTCGGTGACCACAGAAAGCTCTGGTCACCTCTGTCTCCCAATAGCCTTGGGCGAGAACAAAGATCCCTGGCCTGTGCCCATCAGTCCTTCAGGTTCATGGAGTCTTTGTCCAGTGTAGAGAAGCGAATCAGCTTCAGGCTGGGTGGCTGGGGCTTCTTGTCATCCCAGAGGTACTCAGGGGACAGGACCTTGGAGGGCTTGTGGGAAATGAAGCGCCGATTCAGGTGGCTCTCCACCTGCCACGCTGCCATGATGCCATTGGCCTTGTCTGCCAGAATGGCCATGTGGCAGCCCCCTGTGAACTCATACACCCTTTCCACTCGACCACCAAAGACTGCCCCACCATAGTAGAAGTCTCCTTCACCATCAGCAACAAAAGCCGTGGACAAGGGCCTCCGTTCATAAGGGAACTGCCACCGAGGAACAGTAAAGTAGCCAGGGTGGATGGCAGCCACCAGGTCTCCTAAAGTCTCTGCACCCCAAGGATTCCAGAACACCATGTCTATATCAAGACAGTAAAGATAGTCTACCTCCCGATGGCCCCTGGAGGCAATGAATTTGTTGATTGATTCCATCCTATGCATGGAAATTTCCTCCCAGTGGGAAAAGCCCTGGATAGGGATGACTGAGAGGTTTCGGCCAGGTCCCAGGGGAACATGGGGTATTGCCTCTGGGTCATCAGTGAAGATATAATAGTTCACCAGAAAGCCTTGCATGAAGAATTCTTCAGCTGATTCCAGAAAACGACTGACAAATCTTGTGTATCTGGTGGATGTATACAGAACAAGGTAGGACATTATGAAGTGTGATGTGGACAGAAAAGACCTCACTTCTCTTTCCTTACCTTCACTTTTATTATTCTCTACACCTAGAATTCTCCCCCTTCTTCGTGCTACTTACCTATGTTCTACTCATCTTTCAAAGTCCCACCAAAGCTTCCCATCTTTGAGAAATCTTTAACCCCCCTATTTCTCACTGTTGAAGAGAATCTAGACATCAACCTTGAATGTCCTTAGGACAGGGACAGTGCCTTATACTTCTTCTCTATTCCTTCTCCTCATCCACCTACCCAGGGCCCAGCATTTGGATTATAGATTGATTTCAAGGTGGGGGGCAATGAGCAAGTTGGAGAGAAATGTCAAAGAGAAAAAGAGACAATTCCTGGTTCCCCGTCTCTAGCCCAGCACTCTTACTTCCCCACGGCAAATGCTGTGACCCCAATGGTGAGATTCAGCGGCTTATAGGCATTATTCAGGAGCTCTGAGTTGAATGTCCCTTCAGAGACAATTGGAGCCAGCCATGGTGTAAGCGTCAGTACATCTTTTCGTCTAGTGAGAGAGAAGGGAGAAAATAGTGAACTCAGTGTCCTTCTCTTCACCTTTCCTCAATCCCTGCTAGAACACAGAGTTAGAATCATGGGATTCCAGTGGATTCCAGTGGTCAGTTTGTATTTACGGAGTTTATTTGTGAAAAACACCTTCCAGGTCTGACATAAAATCTGACTTCACCTACACTCTTGTCCAAGGTGCTTTAGTCACTGAAAGCTTTCAGCTGTTCAGGTCAATTATGCTGGGGCTGTACCTTTAATTTCAGCTCATTGCAAAAAGACTTTTGTAAAAATGAGAAAGAAGTCCCCTAAAGGGACAGTGTTTGACTTTCAAATTCTTTAAAGTAGTGAGGGAAGCCTGGTCAGAACAGTGCGAAGCCACCAGATAAAGAGTATTCCAGGGGTCACTGGCCAAAGCTACTTTCTTCTCTCTCAGTAGGCAGAGCAACAGAATGAATCCTAGAATCTCAGGGAAATCAGAAGGCCTTTAGTTCAAGTTGCTCCTGAATCAAAGTCCCCTACACGTGGTGAGGCCCGGCCTCTTCTTGGAAACCATTTGTGATGGGGAACCTCTGACCTCCTCAGGTAGCTTACTCCACTTTGTGTCAGCTCTACATAGTGGCAAGTTTCCCCCCATATCAAGTCTACCTTCCTTTCAACAGTTTTTGTGACTTTCTCCTAGTTCTGATCTCTGGAGCAAAGCAGAGCTAATCCCCTCTTCAAATCCTTCAAGGCAGTGATTACACTGTCTTCCTTTCCCAATACATTTTCCCTTTTCCAGGCTAAGTAGCACAGTGGATAGGGCACAGGGCCTAGAGTCAGGAAGACCCGAGTTCAAACCCGCTTTCAAATACTTAAAAGCAGAGTGAACCTAGGCAAGTCACTTAACTTCTATTAGCCTCAGTTTCCTTAACTCTTAAATGAGGTTAATAATGTACCTACCTTATAGGTTTGTTGTAAAGGGTCGAATCAGATAATACTTGTAAAGTATTTAGAGTACTGACACATAATGGGTATTTAATAAATCCTTCCCTTTTTTCCTCTCCTTCCTTCCTTCCTTCCCTCCCTCCCTTTTTTCCTTCCTTCCTTCCTTTCTCATTCATATTGTATAGCTTCCTAACATAATGACATCTTGATCAATCTTCTCTGGCAGTGGTTTGTCTTTTTCTTTCTGTGACCCTTTCCTTCCTTCTGCAATATTTGCCAACAGCCCTCCCACCCTACTTTAGAGGCTAAATATCTTTTTACTCTCTACCCTGAATTCCCCCCCCCCCCCCCCCGCTCCTCTCTCCAGCACCTCATTCAACCTGGAAAGGATCTGAAATCAGTCATTTAGCCTTCAGTGTGAATGTCAGTCACTGTATTCTCTTTCCCAGGGAGGTTCCCACTTTAAGCCTGAATTCAAACTGAGGAATAAAAGTTTGGTTCCTCTTGGAAAAGGGTTGCAGACAGTAGGGAACAGGTAGGGAAGGAAATTAGGGGACAGGAAAGACCCTCCCAAATCTAATCATATTATAAAAGTGGTTGGTGATTCTATCTTCATATAGAGCTATGCCAGACTACAAGTATAGGTTTTCCCACAGTAAATGAGCCCCGTCCCTGGCTATCCTCTGGGTGAGCCATCCTTCCCAGTGTAGACACACGATTTACATCTGGAACAACACTGATACACTCTGACGCTATCTGACTTTCCTTTTCTATATAAAACCAGGAGCTCCTTTAGCATCCTCTTCATCTCTAAAGGTCTCTAAGGTCCTTTTGGGCTTGGAATTCCATATCCTAAGTAGTCTTTTCTAGCTCTGATATTCTCTAGTTCTACCAGATATTGAAAAGTGGTTGTATGAAAATGGAATTATATCATATGAAAGCTGGAAGGAACCTAAGAGTTCATCTACTCCAAAGCTCCCATTTAACAGAAGAAGGGAACTGAGTCTTAGAGAAAGGAAGATTTGTCCAAGGTCATGTGTTGAGCAATGGCAGTAAAACCAGGCAAGGGGACTCTCTGCCCACTGTTCTTTTATTTATTTATTTTTTATTTTTAGGCAGTTGGGGTTAAGTGACTTGTCCAGGATCACACAGCCAGTAAGTGTCAAGTATTTGATCTGAGGCCAGATTTGAACTCAGGTCCTCCTGACTTCAGGGCCGATGCTCTATCCACTGCACCACCTAGCTGCCCCTGCCCACTATTCTTTCTACTACTCTTAGCTTCCTGTCTATGGTGATAAAAGTTTTCATAGGATCACAGCTGGAACATACACCATAGGTCATCCAGTTCAACCTTCTTATTTAATTTTAGTTTTAACTAGTTGTCTGGTTTTTTTTTTTAAAGACTAGGTCTCCATATTTTGCCTAGGCTGGAAGTGTAGGGGCTGACTACTTAGGGGCCCAATCCCCAGAAAGAATGGCATGGAATTTTGTCTGTTCCATTTCTCACCTAGGCTGGTTTGCTCCTCCTTAGACAACTGGCTCTCAAATCCCCCAAACACCCTCTCTGAGTCCTGGGGGCTCACTGGCTGATACTGGACTTAGCGTAGATAACCAATCAGCTTAGTCCACTGCTGCTCAGAGCTCCTGAGCTCAAAAGATCTGCCAAACTCAACTCCTCTCCCAAGTAGCAAGGATAACAGATATGCATCACCATGCCTGATAACACCCTTCTTTTACCCAAGAGGAAAGTGAAGCCAAAATATGTAGAGGACTTACTCAATTCACACAGCTACTTTGAGGCTGAGCTAGGATTTGAACCTAGGACTCCAAATCCAGAGCTCTTTTTACTATACCATCTACGTCCAAGATCAAGACCATTTTCTTCTGAGTTCAACTTTTCTTCAGAGTCTCAATTCATACCAACATATTCTAATTCAGTAGCATTTTTTCATTCTGCAATGGGTACCCCTAAACAATCTACCAGTTTCCCTTGTTATGACTGTCACTGGCCCTGTGGCTGGCCTCTGGCAGCTGGGCTGAAGGATGTGGATGGGATGGGCTCTTCTTGGCCACTGCACGCATGCAATGAACCATCAAGCCACTTTGCTCTCTGGCCAGCTGTAGGTCATCTCCCTCCTCCCTTTCTACATCAAGTACACAATTTCTGAAGGTTCTAAAGCAATGAATCAAACTTCCCTGACAAGTGAGAGAATTTATCCAGCAGGAAGTACCCTCTCTACCTCCCCACTCCCTCACCTCAGTCCTCACCAAGTACATTTCATTTCCAACCCAGTGGACAGTAACTTACTGCTGTTCTAACAGCTTCGGCTGAGGATAGAGTAATCTGCAAAGAAAGACAAACAAGGCATGAGGTTCACATTCTAGACACAGCCCCGCCAGTTTTGACCACTGTAAAGACAGGAAAAGAAGCAATTCTTCTTACTGGGGAAAAGGTCGAAATTTCTTTTCTTCTGTGGCTGGCAACTTCATAGAACTATATCATAGGGGAAAAAAGAGATATGAGAGTTTAGACTTTATGGTCCTTTAGGAAGAAATGGGGATGCTTTAGGTGGGCACTTACAAGGCCTAAGATGGTAGCACTGGCTGTCCCAAGATCCCAGGTAGGGTCATGTCCTTCTCCTACTACTGTGACGTTCCACCATTAGTCAGTCACTTCTGTTGGTTAGCAACCCAGATAACAACAGTAAAGGTAGCAAGCATAGTGGATAAGGAGTTGGCCTTGGAGCCAGGATGACATGGGCTCTGATACATCCTGTCCTTGTGACTCTGGCCTCTCAGTACTTCAGACAATTAATTCTCCAAGACTAGAAATTGCAATGACTAATGTGGAAATATGTTTAATATGACTGCACGTGTATAGCCTACATCAAATTGCATGCTGTCTTGGGGAGGGGGGAGGGGAAAATTTGGAACTCAAAATCTTATAAAAGTGAATGCTGAAAACTAAAAATAAATAAATAAATATTTTTTTAAATGAAGACTAGAAGTCACAGAGGATGTGCTGACCTGGGTTGGCAGAGGGAGTTTCCTCCTACATCAGTGGAATCACAGATCCAATCCCTAGGCCTGATCATAATAGTAACAGTTGATGTTTTACACAGTATTTTAAAGTTTGAAAACCAATTTGCACATGTGATTCCAATTTATCTTCTCAACGCTGTTATGTTACGTGCTGTATTATCATCCCCATTTTGCTGGTAAAGAAAATGAGGCTGAGAGGTTAAGTGACTTAGTTATCCAGGGGCACACTGCTAGTAAGTATTAGAGGTGAAATTAGAACCCAGCTCAAGCGATTATACATTTAAAGCTGAAAGGGTCCTTGGAAGCCATTAAATCCAACTCCGCCCATTTTGCCAATGAGGTAAAGAAACGGCACACCCAGGGTCATATGACCTATCTGAGGTGGACTTCAAACACAGGTCTTTTAGACTACAAGTCAGCCTGTTTCATTCTGCACTACTCCACGCTGCCTATAAATGGGGTGCATGGGTTGCAGAAAGCCCCCGTGTCCATGTTCCTGTGCCTGGGAAAGAGTGTGGGTAAGAAGTGGGGGTGAGCTGGTGGGCAGGCTGCCATAAATCCCACCCAGCGCCCTCCAGGAAGGTGAGCTGGTAACGCATGAGGAGGATTCTAGGATGTTAGTGTGAGAGGATCCTGGTTCTAGAGCTGGGAGGGACCTCAGAGGCCACCCAGCATAAATTCCTCACTTGACAGATGAGGAAACTGAAGTCCCAGGATATTAAGTTAGTTGCTCAAGTCCCATAGAGGCAGTGAGTGTCAGGGACAAGACATCACTTCCTTGTGGAATACAGACTGAGGCATCTGTAGAAACAAAACAACCATGGCTTTGGTGAGGTGAAAAGAACACTGGCTTAAGAGTCAGGAGACCCGAGTTCAAATCCCAGCTCTATTATTTAATAGCTATATGGTCCTAAACAAGTCGCTTAATCAAATGAGATAACATTCTGCAAAAAGTGCTTAGCATAGAGCCTGGCTCATGTTGTTCAGTCATTTTTTGACTCTTCATGACCCCGTTTGGAGTTTTCTTGGCAAAGATACTGGAGTGGTTTGCTGTTTCCTGCTCCAGATCTTTTTACAGGTGAAGAAACTGAGACAAACAGGATTAAGTGACTTGCCCAGGGTCACACAGCTAACAAGTGTCTGAGGTCACATTTGAACTCAGGTCTTCCTAACTCCAGGCACAGCACTCTATCTACTGAGCCACCTAGCTGCCCTTCTGGCTCATACTAGATGCTACATAAATGCTTATTCACTTCCCTTCCCCCTTCCCACTCAATTACTCTGAGACTCGATTTTCTCATCTGCAAAATGGGAATAACATCACTTGTACCGCCCCTGTCACAGAGTTGTTGTGAGGAAGATGCTATTACTAAAGAGGCATCTGGGCACTAAGGGAGTTGTCCTGTATGATAGCAAGATCCCAGGAGCATGAATTCAAAGCTGCAGCTGCAGCAGCAGACCTCCTACCAAGTCATGGAGTGTCCTTGGTCATGGCACTTCTTCAAGAGCTTGTATGCAATTTCTTCCTCTATGCAGTTGGGGTAATAATTCCCGCCTGGCCTCCTTCACAAGGTCATTTTAAAAATTAAATTCACTCAACAAGCATTTATTAAAAGTCTGCTAAGTCCAAAACATTATGGCTAAAAAAAATTACAATCGATGTTTTCAAGGAATTTACATTCCACTGATAGAAACACAGATAAGTAAAATACAAGACAGGAAGTGAATAGGGCAAAGGAAAGATCCAGACACGTGTGTGTGTGTGTGTGTGTGTGTGTGTGTGTAGAATCAAGGAAGACTACAAAGATTACATGGAAGAAGGGCTGTTCAAGCTGAATCTTGAAGGAAGAGTTTTGAAACAGGATAGTTTGGGGCAGCTAGGTGGGGCAGTGGATAGAGCACCACCCTCGGACTCAGGAGGACCTGAGTTCAAATTTGATCTCAGACACTTACTAGCTGTGTGACCCTGGGTAAGCCACTTAATTCTGTTGCCCTCCAAAAGAAAAAAAAGAAAAAAAAAGATACTACTTGGAAAGTGCTTTTTAAATTGCTAAAGCAGTAACTATATACATAATATAAGAAAAAAAAGTTATCACTGGAGATCACATAGCCATTTTACTGAAGATGCAGAAGGGGAAAGTGATTCATGTGGTCAGGGAACAAACTTGGATTTGAATCCATGTTTCCAGGCTATAGTAGCTTCACTACATTTGTGTCTTCAAGTTAAAGTCCTTTGTGAGAGGGAGTTTTTTACAGAATCTGGAGGAGCACAGGATACCTGCTGAAAGACAACACATCACAGTAATGCCTGCCTCACTGGTGCTTCAGATTTACAAATAACTTTTCCTATAAAGCCCTGAGCGAGAAGTAGTGTACTATTAGCTCAATTTCATAGATGAGCAGACTGAGGATCAGCTAACTTGTGACGGCCCCCAGGTCACAGAGTTCACATGGAAGCCCGAGTTCAAACTTGGGCTTGCTGATTCCATGACCAGTGGTCTTTCTGTCATGCTCTATTCTTACCTGAATAACTTCAGGAACCAAGCCAATACTATGCCTTTACACAACTTTACTCAACAATATTCTTGGAGATTTATTACCTTTATTCCACACCCAAATCCAACTCAATACTTACAAGGCTTCTGGGCAGGGGAGGTAATATGGGAGGTAATGGACAGACCAGTTCCAGGTTAACATCCTGAAAGGAAAGAGATCTGATGCATGTTTCTTCAGAGAAAAGAGCGTTTGCTTAGCAACAATTAAGTTTACCAATAACATATTCTGAGAATTATTGGGCCACTTTGACCCAACTGTTGACGTAAGTTAGCAAATGGCTGGATTAGAGAAAAGCAGTCTGGATTGTCTGCACAGAAGAGAAAAGTGGGAGATCAAGGGAGAAGAGAACCACATTCCCAATGTCATGACTCTAGGAAATTCTTCATAGTATTTACAAATGACTGATTTAAAAACTGACCCTTTCATGTAAACAGGCACTGCTCTCCTGTCTCCCTTCCCCAGCCCCACAGCCCTGGCTGCCAGAGCCCCCTCCCCATCTGCTGAAGCCCTAGCCATACTATCCACCCAGACCACAATTCCTGCAGCCTCACCTCCAGGTGGGGCTATTACAAGGGTCAAAAGAATTCCCAGTGCTATAGGTTTAGGGTTAAAATGTATTCTTGGCATCCCCAGGTAGAATAAATTTCCCCAAAAATATTATAAAAAAAGATAATTGGAGTCATTAATCCTAAGATAAAGGTATATTTTGGGTTAAAACAGGGACCTTCATTATCATGAATAACAGCATTTCTGTGTGAAAATGCATTCCCACTTCCAAACAACCAACCCCATACAACCTATTTGTAAACTGAATGCTGCCTCTTTTTATTTCCCTCTATTTGGAGAGATATTTCATCCCCATTATTGATAGGATCTCTCTTTCTCTCTCTCCTGCTCCCTCTCATCCCTCCCCTCCCTTCAACATAGTACTTTGATTCAATAAATATTTATCAAGTCATTAAGTCCTATCTTGAGTGGAGAACTGTGTTCAGTCCAGGGAGGAGACACATGTTTTAGAGAGGACACAAGTCTCTAAGTTTACAGAGCTCATAGTCTAGGAGGGGGAGAAGAAACAAACACAGATAACTACTATACAATATTCTATGATAAGTACATTAAAGAAGTATAAAACCAAGTGCCATGTGGGACCCAAAGCAGAATAACATTTCCAAAGGGGTACGGGGAGAGGGCAGGGAATTTCACCTTCTGGAAGATGTAGACTTTGAAGGATGGGTAGCAATTCCCACAGGTAAAGAGGACAGAGGATATGGCACATATAGTGAACAAAGGGATGTAGTAAAAGGATCATAGACTGAAACCTGGAAGGAACCCAAGAGGTCATTTAGCCCAACCATCTCATCTTAGAGATAAGGAAACTGAGACCCAGATAAGTGACTTGTCCAAAGTCACACAGGCAGTAAGTGGCAGAGTTGGGACTTCAATCCAGGACTTCTGTCTCCAGATCTAGCATTCTTTCCACTGTACCATGGTGACCCTCTAAGTCAGGAGGGCTCAGAGTGTGCTCAGGGGACAAAGTGTCCAGTTTTGAGGAGGACAGTCATATTAGCGAGTCTACAAGGGCACGGCCAGATTGTGGGGGGCCTTGAATGTCAGGCAAACAAGTGTGAACTTGGCTCAGTAGGCAACAGGGAACCACTGGAGATTTACAGTGTTGGAATATTCATAAACATAATAATGAAAAGGATAGAATGAACAGCATCAGTAACCAATACACATCTAAGGGCATCTCCAGGTAGGCCTTGAAGGAATCTCTTCCAGCACCAATCAAAGGTTGCTAAGGAGCAAGCGCTTAGCTATACTGCCTAGGACATCAGAACAGGAAAAGGGATCAAAGTTTTGGGTTCCTACTTTTTAAACAAAAAGGAAAAAAAACAAACACACATTTCCTTCCTTCCTTCCTTTATCCTGGAGATTCTATATCCATAGTCCGTATCTATATACATATCTATATTCATATATCTATCGATCTCTATCCATATCCATATATATCTATATTCATATATATAATCTATATGTATCTATGTATCTGTCTGTCTGCCTGTCTATCTATCTATCTATCCATCCATCTATCTGACTCAATCTCTATGAGTGAACAGGTGGGTGCGAGGTTAGTGTGAGTGCTCAAGCCTAGACAGGCTCTCCCCAGGGTGTCAAATTAAACTCACCAAATGACCAAGAAGATGCTGAGTAAGGTGAGGGTGATGGCTGCCAGCAGCATGCTTCTCCAACGCATTGCTGCGGATTGTGAAGGCTGATTCCAGCGTTGTCGAGCCTGGCGCGCCGTCTTCTACAGCCTGCTAAATAAAAGTGCAGGCAGAGATAAAGTCACAGCCCCCTCTTCATCCTATTACTTAGCATGGCGAAAACAGTCCCTTTCTGTGTAGCTGTTTGACCGAAAGAAAGCTTCTGCCTGAGACTTGGGAGGGGAGGTAGGTGGTGAAGCGCACAGAGCACGGGTTCTGGAGTCAGGAAGACTCATCCTCCCGAGTTCAAATCCGGCCTCAGACACTTCCCAGTTGTGTGACCCTGGGGAAGTCACTTAACCTTATGTGCCTGTTTCCTCCTCTGTACAATGAGCTGGAGAGGGAAATGGCAAACCGTTCCAGTATCTTTGCCAAGAAAACCCCAAATGGGGTCACAAAGAGTTGGACATGCCTGAAATGACTGAACAAGCAAGCAAGTGACTTGGGAAGCTTCTCTTGATCCCCTCCCCCCCCAAGCTGCTAGGGCCCTCCCCAGTTTACTCCGTATTTATTTTTTGTATGAGCTTATGTAGGTGTTGTCACCCTTGATAAAATGCAGTTCTTTAGTGTGTGGACTGGTTCATTTTTGTCTTTGTGTCCCCAGAGTGCTTAGCACACATTAGTCATGACTCTTTGTGACCCCACTGGGGATCTTCTTGGCAAAGATACTAGAGTGGTTTGTCATTTCCTTCTCTAGCTCATTTTACAGATGAGGAAACTGAGGCAAACGGGGTTAAGTGACTTGTCCAGGGTCACACAGCTAGTGAGTGTCTGAGGCCACATTTGAACTCAGGGAGATGAATATTTCTGACTCCAGGCCTGGCACCGTATGTGCCACAGCGCCATCTGGCACATAGTAGGCACTTAATAAATGCTTCCTGACTGATCAATTGAACAGCCCCTTAGGATGGGATGATTAGGCTTAGATTCTCCCAAACGATACCTGGCAAGTTGGCATGGTATCTTATCTTAGGGACCTACGGCTTCTCCCTATTATGATCTCATATCCCACATATCATTTTCCGCAGGATTTCTTTTATTATTAGTGACTTCTTTTCTCAGGAATCCAAAGCAACGTCTCCCCTATAGTATTACTTTCCCCTTCTATGAAGTCAAAGAGTCACTGAGTTTTTTGCTGTTTCTCACCTTTACCTTCAGCCTCAGACTGAGAGCCTTGACCCCAACCACAAGCCTCCAATTCTAGCCACAGACTGAGCCAGCACAGAGGGCCTGGGGTCAGATCTCAGCTCTGCCATTTTTATCTGTTTGGTTTTGAGATAGTTTCTTGATTTCTTTGGGCCTCAGTTTCTTCATCTGTAAAATGAGGAGGTTAGAGTAGATTATTTCCCAGGTCCCTAAATCTAAGATGCTATAATCCCTGACCACTGACTGGATCCTAATCCTGACTTCAGGTTGACCAATGACTGATCCCAACCATAGAACCAGAGCAATGGAAGAGACTTTATATATCTTTAAATCCAACCTCTTGCCCAGCCAGTTACCTTACAAAGGTATGGGGACCGGACAAGAGTGTGAATGCCTCCTATCTTCCTGATCCTGATTCCTGATTCCTACGTGCCTAGCACATAGGAGGTGCTTTATAAATGTTTATTGAATGAATTGTTGCACTGCCAGGATTACATACGAGCTACTGTTCCCATCCCTCAACATTCTGCCCGCAATGTTCTCCTGCACTCGTCACATCCATTATGCATTATCATTTTATGCCTCCTGGTGTTAGTTATTTTTTCATAGGTATATAACTCATCCTCTTTTCCAGGCTCTAATATCCTGGAGTGCAGGGACCATACATATCTCATTCATCTGTGTCCCTCTCGGTGCCTAAGCCAGACTTTGAACACACTAGGTGATCAGTACGTGGTTGTTGGATTACTGGTTGACTAACCCACTTCCTGAAATAACGGGATCACAGATTTAGAGTTGGAAGAGACATAACACATCATCAAGTCCAACCCCCCTCATTTCATAGATTAGGAAGCTGAGGCCTGAAGAGATTAAATGACTTGCCCAGGGTCCCACAGATGGCAAGCATCTGAGGTAGGATTAGAACCCAGGTTTTCCTGACTCCAAATTCAGTACTCCATAGTCTAGTCTCTGGACAGATCTTTCTCCTCCACTTAAATGAAGGCAATTGTCTCCATCAGGTTCTCAAGATGGATTTCAGGACAGCAGGACACATTCCTCGGGCCGTGGGGACCTCATTGGCCAATGTGCTTTGGCATGGGCACTTTCTTTAGTTTTACCAAAGCTTCCATGGCCAGAGTGTTCCTGTGCCTGCCATCTCTTCACGATGTCCTAAGTTTGGTCCCGATTCTAATATCTACAGAACAAAGAAGAACAGGTACCAATTGCTGCTGAGGATTCAATGAGCTCAGCTTTTAACTCTAGAACAGGAGGAGAGGCCTTGAGGGTATAGTGGAAAAGAACCCTGGATCTGAAAGCAAAGGGCCTGAGTTCATATTGCATGTCTCAAACTCGCTACTTGTGTCACCTGGGACAAAGCTCTTAACTTCTCTGGACTTGTTACCTCATCTATAAAATAAGTGCGTAGGATTAGATAGACCCTGAGGACCCTTCCAGGCCTAGGATCTTTCTCCCTATTTCTGTTCCTAGTAGGTGTGGAGACCTCCCAGCGACCAGAGAAGCTCTGCCTCTACCCCAACCAAAGACAGGCTTCCCTTTTAGGCCTCTAATCTATTCTCTTTTAGGTTATATTAAACTCAGGCGGGCCCAAGGGTGCCCACATTCAGCATGGCGTAAGGGCTGGCAAAGTTTCCACTGTAAGGTCAGAGCTCACCTTAGAGGTTCTAGATGATGGATCTTATTTGCCTACACTTACAATAGCCGTCTGCTTCTCAGGGTTCTGTCCTGGACCCTCTTTTCTTCTCCCTATACTACTTCATTTGGTGATCAACTCCCATGGATTTACCATCTGTACACTGATGCTTCTCAAATCTCCCTATCCTCCCCAGCCTCTCTACTGACATGCAATCTTGCGTCTCCAACTGCCTTTTGGTTATCTTGAACTGGATATACAGTAAACATCTTAAACTCATTATGTTCAAAATAGAATTCATTATCTTCCCCTGCTAAACTTTCCCTGAACCCCTACCTTTCCCGTTACTACAGAGAACACCACCATCCTCCCGGTCCCTCAGACTCAGAGCTCAGGAGTTATCCTGGACTCCTCACTATCTCTCACTCCGCATAGCCAAGCTGTTGCCAAGGCCTTTCCATATCACCTTTGCAGCATCTCTAGACTATATTCCCTTCTCTCCAACACTGCCACCAGACCCTCGTCACCTCACACCTGGACTACTGCCATGGCCTGCTGGTAGGTCTGCTTACCTCAAGTCTCTCCCCACTTCAATCCATTCTCCAGTCAGCCTTTAAAGTGATTTTTCTACAGCCCATGTCCAATCACATCACACATACACACGCTCTCTACAATAAACTCCAGTGGATCCAGAACTCCTATTGCCTCTAGGATCAAATACAAAATGCATTCAAAGCCCTTCATAACCTTGCCCCCTCCTTCCTACCTTTCCACTCCAAATCAGGAACTCTTCAATCCAGTGACACCTGGCTTCCTGACTATTCTACAAACAAGACACTGTTTCTTAGATCTGGGCATTTTTTCTGGCTGTCTTCCACATGCTTGGAATGCTCTTTTTCCTTCGTTCTGACTACCGATCTTCCCGGCTTCCTTAAAGTCCCAACTAAAATCCTCTTTTCTATAGGAAGCTTTCCCTAGCCCCTCTCCATTCTAGTGTCTTCCCTTTGTAAATTAGCTCTCATGTATCTTGCATATAGCTTGCTTTGTACGTATTTGCTTGCATGTTTTCTCCCCCACTCAATTGTAAACTCCAAGAGGACAGGGACTGTGTTTTCCTTCTTTTTGTATTCCCAACACTTAGCTCAGTGCCTGACACATATTAGGTGCTTAATGAATATTTATTGACTTATTTATTGTTACCCAGTCTGCTCCTCCCAACACTTAGCACAGTGCCTGACACATAGCAGGTGCTTAATGAATATTTACTGACTTATTTATTGTTACCCAGTCTGCTCCTCCCTAGATCAGGAAGATAATCAGACTCTTCCTTCACAGTCTGGATGTATGGCTGCTCACCCACCATGGTAAATAGCAGGCTCAGGACAGTGTTTCTTAATGGTGTCTTTTTTTTTTTAAAGTAAGGGGTAGGGAGGAATAAATGCCTGAATTCTCCCTTTCTCCATCATTTTGAGGAGAAAATAGTTGATTGAATCAATCAACCAAAAAGAATTTTTTAAGTGCCTACTAGTGGCACTGTGCCACCTACTGGGAGTACAAAGACAAAAAAAAATCCTTGCCTTCAGGGAGCTTACATTCTAACAGAGGAGACAGCACATACATATATACAAATACATGCAGAATATATACATAATGAATACAAGACAGTTTGAGGAAGGGGAGCCCTTAGAGCTAGGGTACAGGTGGAGCATCAGGACCACAGATTTAGAGTTACAGCAGAGTTTGTTTTTTGTTTTTTTCCCAAAAAAATCTCTTTTGTGTTATAGATCCTTTTGGCAGTCTGGTAAAGCCTACAGACCTCAGAACAACACCTAAAATACATAGGATTACAAAGGAAACTAAATAATTAAAACAGTTATCAAAACGTTAAAACAACAACAAAAAACACACAAGTTCACAGACCCCAGGTTAAGAAGCCCTGAGCTACAAGTAAAAAAGTTTTTAGAAGTTATCTAGTTCAATCTCACCCATTTTACAGATGAAGTAACCAAGGCCCAGAGAAGGGAAGTGACTTGTCCATAGCACTATGGATAGTGACAGAGTCAACTGGACCCAGGTTCTGCTTTTTCATCCAATGCTCTTCCCACTACACCATGTTGCTTTTTTTCTTTAGCTTCCTCATTTATAAAATGGGGATAAAAATGTCACCTATCTCACAAGGTTGTTGCAAAGACCAAAGATATTATATGTAAAAAGCAATATGCAAACCTTAAAGCACTACATAAAAACCACCACCATCATCCTTATCATTTTCTTCTTCCTATGATTAAAAGTAGTAGACTGAAAAATCAAATTTCCTGGGAAATTAATTCCCAAGTCCTCTTGAAGGCTGTGCCAGTGCATTAGGAGATTCTATTTACTTGTTTGGCCAGTGAGAGACCAATCCTTCCCTCCTCCCCCTTCCCCAGGCAGCCTCTGACAGCTGGCAGTCTGGGTGCAGCTATAGCTGCAGGGAACCATTGGTGTTTATATGGTTAGTTTCCAGGCTTCTTACTGGGAGGCATCTGGGTGGGAGGTCGGTAAGAGCTGTGGGCCAGGATTATTTTTAAGCCATTTCCCTGTGTGTCTGGTTCCCACAAAACAGGGTAAAGCCCCTAGAGCCTGGGATTTTTCAGTCCAGTTCTCTCTAAACTGTGGCAGTTTTGTTGAGAAACAAATATGGGGTGATAGAACTGAACCCTGGCCTGGGAACCAGGGTTCTAGTGCTAGCAATAACACTACCTTGCTGTGCTGCTTTAAGCAAGTTATTTCACTCCCCCTCTGAGCCTGTTTCTTAATCAGTAAAATAAGGGGGTTGCAGTTTCTTAACCTGGCGTACACAGTCTTCCATGGGGTCTGTGGAGAGACTACAGAGAGGATATGAACTTGGTTAGGAAAAATATAAATGTTAATTAGTTTCAGTAACCCTTAGTTTCCTTTGTACCCTATATTTTTTTATTTTATGAATTTAAAAATATTCTTCTGAAAAAAAGATATCCACAGGTTTCCCCAGATTGCCAAAGGGGTCCATGACACACACAAGATTAAGAACATCTACATTACACAGTTTCTAAGCTAGGTTCCTTTCAGCTCTAAGATGCCTAGGATTCATTAGAAGAATAAATTTCCAGAGACTGTGCTTAAAATAAATACATGGTGAAGCCATTTCTTCCTTCTCCCCTCCCCCAATTGCCAGAAGCCCTAGGCCAGCTACTCCCTTCAGGGTTGCCCACTCAGGGAATGCTGTTTCTTTGTGATTAGAAAATTGGCTGAGGAGCCAGATCCTACTAGATCCCCCAGTGACGATTTTCCTACAGAGACAGAAGAGACCCTCCCCGCACCCCAACTCACCCCTAAGCCTGGGGAGGGCAGCAAGCAGTAGTGAAAAGCAGAGAGAGAGGCAGACAGGTAAGCTGGCTGGGAGGTGGGCAAGCAGGCTAGGTGGTGGGCAGGCAAGATGGACTCTCGTGGTCTCTTCGGAGAAGGGCGCAGGCGGCAATCTAGCCTCAGCCAGTTTTAGCAGCACCTCAATTAGGCTTCCTCTCCCTATGTCCTTGGCGTCACAATCACTAAGGTTTCTGAGAATCCGGGGGCTGGGAACATAAGTCCTGCTGCAGAGGAAGATCTCTACTGCCTAGACCACGCCTGAGCGGAGCCACCGCCCTAAGCCCCCAAGGCTGCTGTAATCAGGCACTGCGTGGCTTTCCGGCAGGCCCTGGTCAATTTCACTCCAAACTCGAATTCGCCGTTGTTCTGGCTTGCTGCGCTTCCCTTTTCTCTGTGCTGGAGGGGAACAGCTTTTTTTCTCTTTGAGGCTAAGAACTGAAAGGGGAGGGATGGAATAAAAGCGAAAGGGAGGGAGGCACCAAGGGAGAGAGAAGGGGGAGGGAGAGAGAAGGGGGAGGGAGGGGTTGCTTGGCTAGAGGTACGCACCGTTTAGAAAGAAAATTCACTCCATTCTCTACCAGCCAATTTTCCTGTATCTGTAAACACATAAGCATGCATACCAATACACCTGCACGCACGTGTCTGGACTCACGGACTCTCACGTATACACAACATATACTTTCAACCCCTTCAACACATGAGCCAAATGTGTGACCCTAATGTCTCAAGGTCATTCTTCAAAGTTTACCTGGGGGCTCCTTGGTTGGAATATAGAGATTTAGACCTTTTTTAGGTTTGAGTAGCTATGTGGGCAGTGAAAAACAATATAATATTTATAGAGCCCTTTAAGGTTTGCAAAGTGATTTACGTATATTATCACATTTGATCTTCACAAAAACCTTGTCAGATAGGGACTATTATCACCCTCATTTTACAGATGAAGAAACTGAGGCTGAGAGTGGTGGAGTGACTTGCCCAGGGTCACAAGACTAGTTAATGTCTGAGGCAACATTTCAACTCAGGTCTTCCATTAGAGTACTGGGCTCACATTCTGCCTCTGACACTTGCTAGTGGGTTGGGGCAAGCCTTGGCTTGTTCATCCACAAAATGATGGAGCTTTGGACTAGATGACCCCTGGGGCCCCTTCAAGCTCTAGCTTTGATCTTTTGGATCCAACTCTGACCTTGGGCAAGTAACTTCTCCTCTCTGACTTTCAGTTTCCTCATCTGCAAAATAGCAAAAATGCAAAAGTTTTACAGAACAAATCCTTTTTTAAGAGGATTTGTTCTGTGAAGTTTGGATTCAGTCAAAGGGTCACATTTGAGGACCTAGAGGGCTCCCCACCCCTGCCCTAGAGTACATAATTACCCAGAGATGGGAAGATGCTGACAGTCAGTCATGGGATTTGTCTTCAACCTAACCACACCCATCATTTTCCTTCAACATTCCCATTTTGTCCCATCCCCTTCCTCCACTAAGCAAGTTCCTAACCTCCCTTCTCTCTCTTTTTTTAAATTTTATTAATTTATTTTGATTTATCAACAATCACTTCCATACGATTTTAAGTTGAAAATTTTTCTCCCCCTTCCTCCCCGCCACCCTCCCCAAGACGGCGCACAATCTGATATAGGCTTTACATTTACATACCCATTAAACATATTTTCACATTAGTGAAGTTGTAAGTAAAAATGAAAACCAATAGGAGGAATCATCAGAAAGATGAAACAAAACTCAACAGAAGGTAAAAATAAGTGAGAGCGATTCGACTTCCATAGTTCTTTCTTTGGATGTGGACAGCATTTTCCATCCCGAGGCCTCTGGAGATGTCTTAGATCCTCATAATGCTGAGAAAGATTCAGTTTAACAATCTTAGTCATTGCATAACGTGGCTGTTATTGTGTACAAAGTCCTCTTGGTTCTGCTCACTTCACTCAGCATCAGACCATATAAGTCTTTCCAGGTTTTTCTGAAGTCAGCCTGTTCATCATTTCTTATAGCACAATAGTATTCCATTACATTCATATAGCACAACTTACTCAGCCATTCCCCAATTGAATTTCCAATTCTTTGCCACCTAACCTCCCTTCTTTTGCCTGAGGAGTAGACCCCTCAGGGAGATGACTCTGGAGGAGAAAGTGGGGCTGGTGACTTTGCACAGCCCTCTCTCACATGCAAGTTATGACATCACCTTCCTGATGTTGAGGTCCTCTTTGAGAACTAAGGACAAACAGCAGACCCCTTAGGACAGATATAACCTAACAATTCCCTGGACACTCACAGCAAGAGCCATTGGGAAATTCTTCCCCTTTCCCCCAAGCATGATAGGGGGAGCAAGATCAGGGGGCTGAAGCAGACACTCTTGTTCCACTTTAACAACCAATGAGGAAGGTCCCACCTTTGCCTATTCATTTAGTCACTTAGGCTACCATCTTTGATACCATCTCCTTATTGTACTTGACTCTTCATGTACACCTATTCATTTGCCAAATCTTAGTCATTTCTACTTCTAACTACTCCCTTCTCTCTACTTTAGGCCATCATCAATTCTCACTTAAGACTATTCTGGCCTTAGTCTCCTAACTGGCCTCTCTGACTTAAGTCTCCCCACTCCAACCGTCTTTCACAAAGCTGCTAAAAGGATTTCCTAAAGTGCAGGTCTGTCCATGTCACTCAACAAACTCCTATGATTCTTTATTGTTTCATCCTTTTCTAGCTGTGAGGTAGGTGGCACAGTGCAGGTGATGCAGTGTATAGTGTGCTGTGCTTGGAGTCCGGAAGATGTGAGTTCAAGTCCAATCTCAGACACTTACTAGCTGTGTGACCCTGGACAAGTCACTTAATCTTTTTCTGCCTCAGTTTCCTCAGCTCTGAAATGGCAAGAATCATAATAGCCCCAACCTCACAGGGTTGTTGTGAAGGATCAAATGAGATAATATTTGTAAAGTGCTAGCATACTACCTGGTACCTTATTGTTTTTCGTCCTTCATTTTCCAAGAGGACCAATGACATCATGGAGCGATACACATAAGGCAGAGTTGCTTGGGGAAGACATCCCTCTAGCTCACCAATGGGTTTGAGCCTTGTCAGTTACCCTCAAGCTGATTTAGCTAGTTTTACTGGGGTGTGGTCACTGGGCATATCACAGCTTCTTGGAGCCACAGGTGAGAGGTGGGTGACAGATGGACACCAAAGGTAAATGAGCATGAAAAGGGCTTAGTAGCTCTCACACCAGAGGTGCTAGTTCTCCCTGAACATTCTATACACCCCAGGCACATGGTAGGCACTTAATAAATGCTTGTTCTCATTCCTTATCCCATCCTTTCAAATGTTTATTTTTTTAAAGTTTTACGATGTATGTAATTAGTATAAGCATATCATTTATAAATAATATAATTATTAATAATATGTGTGTATAATTTATAAAGAACTAAATTGTGCCCATACTGGGGGTACATGTTCAAAATTTTTTTTGCTATCAGTAAAATCACCCTTTATCAAAGGGTTCATGACCAAAAAAGTTTGGAGGCTGCTGATTTATATCTTTCTTTTGCCCCTATCACATACAACCTTAATTTTGTACAGGGTGTCACACCCCACTTGTAACAACCCCCTCTAGACTTTAAGGTCTGTGAGAGAAGGTATTCGTTTATCTTTTTCATCCTAGCACCTAGTTAATAAAAACAAAACAAAACTATATAATATTTGGGTTTTTTACTTAATTTTGCTGATATCTTTTGTGTTTTCATCATAATCATAATGTGAGGAAAGTGAATCTTAGCAGGAAAAACTCACTCAGGGCTTAGATGCAAGTCTTTTCTGTGTTTAGTACTGTCTTAAATGCATATGTTTACATGTGGTTTTGATTGCTTATACTTTGCAAGGTATCCTGGGATTTGGGGGCTAGAGTTTTTTTCTTTCCTATTTATTTATTGTTATTTTTAAAAACCTGGGCAATTAACTCTTGTTTCAAATAGTTTTCATTCATGTTTTCTTGAAATATAGCTCTGGTAAAGCAGGCTTCGATAAAGCCCATTGGGATTCAAATGGAGCTACTTGACTATGCCTTTAAACCCAAATCACTCTGGCTTTCACTGATTAGCCAATAATAGGTTCCAGCCCAAGCCTCACTTGTTCATTGTTTGGGTTTTGATGGCTCAGAATGGAGTGTAAACAAAACTCTGAGGGTTTTCCCTTCCCAGATTGATTCTTTTGGAAAGTCAGACATCTTTTGCCTCAATTCTTACCTAGCCTTTAGTCACTGAATGGGTGTTGCCTTAGACAAAACTAAGACCTGGGAAAGACCTTAGCTTAAAAAGGCCAGGATCCCCCACTGCAGCTGGAGCCATCTCCTGTCATCCTGACCTGTGTCTTGCCACTGGACACTGATAACTCTGGAGGAGACGGTGAGGCTGATGACTTTGTACAGCCCTGCCTCACTTACATCCAATTCACTTTCAAGTCAAGACATCACTCTTCTGATGTCATTAGTCCTCTTTGAGAATGAAGGATGAAAAACTATCCTAAATAAATATATTACTGTATCTGTTTCCTGTTATTAAGAGAGAGGTATGGAATTGACTTCAAAGCTGAGAAGATCTGCAATCAAGTCCTGCCTCTGACATATACTGGTTATGTGACCTTGGCCAAGTTACTTAAACTTGAAGTGTTCTAGGCAATACTTCACTATTATAAATTGCAGAGAATGTGCTGACCTGCATTGATAGCAGGAGTTCTCTTATTCAGAGTTCCATAGACGGGTGGTTCCCATTTGAGTTCAAGATGATGATCCAAGGAGTATGTCACAAAAATTCTTTAATGTATCTTAATAAATAAGTGCCCAGTTATGGTACAAATGTTTTTCCTCTGTGACAATAAGCAAATACATTTTGGAAGCATTATAGACGCATTTCTGCAATAATTATAAACCATCACGTCATGTACACAATGATTTTGGTGTTCATACAGCTATTACATCAAATTCTGACTGCTTCTGATTAAGCGCATGTCCTTGTCATTTTTCAACCTGTCATCAAATTGTTTGCAAACTGCCACAAAGGTTCAACATTCAAGCACAAATCAATTCCCAGTGGATAGCCAGAAACACATCAATGCCCTCATTTGCATTCTGTATACTACACCAGAATAGCACCCTCATTTCCTTCTGTTACCCTGTCATTGTACTTCATCAACTTTGTAATCATGTGATCAAAATGTCATCAATGTTTGTATTCTTGCAGAGAAAATGTCAGACTGTTTGCAAACTATGATTGCTAGACATGTGTATTTTAAGCCATCTTGAAATAATCATAGGCCATTACAAGTGTTCTGCAGAAATAAACCTTATATTGCCTCTCTGCAGTATTAAGGCTATTTTCTGACTTAAATTGACCTTCTACTTCTACTACCTTGTTCCTCTATCTAGCTGGTTTTCAAATTAACTGGTTGGCAA